CAAGCCAGTATTTGACATTTAAAATCATTTGATAGTATTTTTTTTTATTGCATTGGTAATAGCTTCCATAGACTATTACTGTATGCTGTATTTCATTGTTACCTGATCAAGAGTACAACCAACTTTCATAAACATTTTTTTCTCTGCTTACAAAATAGTTTCAATATTTATTGTCTACATATTTTATTTGAGTCACTGGGTGATGCAAATAATTTGCACTTTGTAGGATTAGCACTGGACTATGAACCACAAAGCTAGCAGTTCAAACCCACCAGCTGCTCCTTGGAAACTCTATATAGGGTTGTTCTGAGTCAGAATTGACCAGATGGAATTTCACAACAAACAACAGCAACTAACCTAAAGCAGTGGCACAATGGCTAAAGCACTGCCAACCTAAAAGTCTTTAGTTCAAATCCACTAGCCACTCCACAGGAGAAAGATGTGGTAATCTGCTTCCATAGAGATTAACCAAAAAGCCATTGCCATCGACTGATTCTAAGACTCATAGTGATCCTATAGGTTACAGCTTAGGATATTATCCTTGATAGCAACAGTTTTTTGTTTGGATTTCTGGTACTAATGTGAAGATTAAGGAGCTCTGGTAGTGTAGTGGTTATGAATCAGGCTGCTAACCTCAGGGTCAGCAGTTCAAAACTACCAGCTGTTCCATGGGAGAAAAAGGAAGCTTTCTGCTCCCATAAAGATTTACAGCTTCAGAAACCCTATACAGGGTCGCTAGAGTCGGAACTGACTCCATGGCACATAACCACCACAACAATGTAAAGATTGGGAGTTGGTGTCAATCCAGCAACACCACAGAAGAAAAGCCTGGTGATTGGCTTCCACAAAGATTTTGTTGTTTTTCTTAGTTGCTGTTGAACTGGTACCACCTCATGGTGGTGATTGATGGTGATTATGTGCTCAGGAGTTGATTTCGACTCATAGGGATCCTATATAGGGTTTCCAAGGCTGTAAATCTTTATGGAGCAGAAAGCCTCATCTTTCTCCTATGGAACAGCTGTTAGATTTGTACTGCTGACCTTGTGGTTAGCAGCCCAACTTGTAACTCACTAAGCTACCCAGCTCTTTATAGTGCTTCTGTATACAAGAGAGGCTGGTCCTTCGCCATCCTCACAATTGTAGCTATATGTGAGTCCATTGTAGCTGACGCTGTGTCTCATAGAGAGGTCTTCCTCATTATTGATGAGCCTCTACTTTATCAAGCATGATGTCCTCCGGGGACTGGTGCCTCTTGAAAACATGTCCGAGGCACATAAAATGAAGTCTCCTCATCGTAGCTCCTAAAGAATGTTCTGACTGTACGTCTTCCAAGATAAACACTATGGGGTTGCCATGCATCAGAACGGACTGGATAGCAACAGATTTGGTTTAGACATTTCATGTCTCCATTTAATTTTTACTGTCCATACAGAATACACCATTGTTCAACATAGATAGTCAATTTCTAATATTAACTTTTTATCCAAAGCAAACAACTTGGTTCTGGACATTGTTCAAATCTTATTCATAGAAGCCTACTGACTTTGCAGAATAAGCTGATGCAAGCAACTACCTGGGATGAGAAAAGCATTGGGTTCAATGGAGGAGCCTGTAATCTAATCTTGTTGCTCTCGGTTCTAAATATGTTCCATAATCTTCTCATTGTTTCCTAGCCCATCAATGTGACATTTTGTTCTTAACACTCTTATTGAAATTATCTTTCTTGGAGTTAGGTTGGCTTACTTTTCTATTTCTCAGTTGTTAAATCACTGAGGCAGTCGTATCAGAGCATCTATGTCCTGAGGGTTTTTTTTTTTTCTGGCTGTAGAATTTATTTTAAATTTTTAAAAAAAGGACAAATACATCATTTTTCAACATGGTCTCCTTGGTTTTTTTTAATACACTTTGTCCATCTGCCAACAAGCTTTCATATTCCCTTACTGAAAAATGTTTTCGGCTGAGCTGAGAGCCACAAATGCACCACTGTCTTCACTTCTTCATCACAGGGCTGCTTTCAGGGGAGCACATAGGTGAAAGTCTGATGAGGGAAGATCAGAAGTATAGGGAGGATACTTTAACACCTCAAAGGAAGGATTTGTACTGCCAACAGGTGGGCAGAGGTGTGCTGACATGAATCACAATGCCGTTGGAGAGCATTCCTCTGCTTTTAATCGGAAATTTAGGCTTCAGCTCTTCACTGTAATGAGCACTGCTGATTGTTGAAACCATTTTTCTGAGAGTGTTCCAATACTGGCCCTTGAGAACCCCAGAAAACTGTAAGCATCAACTTTCCAGCTGATGGTTGACTTTTGAATTTTTTCTTGCTTGGTAATTGAGAATGTTTCCACTCCATACTCCATACTCTCAGGCTCTTAGTGATGAATCTATGTCTCCACCAATAAAGATTTTTGTTAAGAAACTTCTACCTTTTTTCGAGTATTGGTCCAAATTTTGTTTGCAGATGTCCAAATGCTTGTTTCTGCTCCTCCGAGAGTTGTTTCAGTACCCATCTCGCACAGACGTTTTGAAATCCAAGTTTGTTGTGGATTATTTTATAGGCAGAGCCATGGTTGATTTGCCACGTAACCCACTGTCACTTATGTATTCCACAGAATCATATCACATGCGTGCTCAATGTTGTAATTATCTGTGGGCATAGTAGGCATTTTAATATAACCAGAGTGCGGGTAATTTTTGACTCACCCTCATCCATTAGGTCACATTTCTATCCTAGAGAATATAATGATCAATCAATGCTGGCTATTATAATAATTATCCAAACAACACTATAGATCTATAGAAAGATGCTTTGGTGTGTCCTGAGTTTTTAAGGTCTTGCTTTATATGTCTTAGCCTGCTTTCCCCACAGGTTCACCATTCTGTGTCTTTTCTTTTTATTTTCTTTCACTCAGTTCCTTTTTACATATAAGGTATATTAAAACATGAATTCATTGCTGTCGAGTTAATTCCAACTTACAGCAACCCTATAAAACAGAGGAGACCTCATAGGGTTTTCAAGGCTGTACATCTTTACAGAAGCAGACTGCTAGTAGATCAGAACCACCAGCCTTTCAGTTAGCAGCTGAGTGCTTAACCACTGGGCCCCTACTCAAAGGGTGTTGTTAGGTGTTCATCATTCCCAACTTCTAGCAACTCTATGTACAGAACGAAACACTGCCTGGTCTGTACCATGTTGTAGTTACTGTTATCAATTCATCTCATTGAAGATCTTCCTCTTTTTGCTGACCATTTACTTTACCAAGCCTAATTCCTTCTCCAGGAGCTGGTCTCTTCTGATAACATGTCCAAAGTAAGTGACACAAAGTCTCTCCATCCTCACTTCTAAGAAGCATTCTAGCTGTACTTCTTCCCAGACTGATTTGTTCGCTCTTCCAGCAGTTGCAAATTCAATACTCTTTGCCAGCACCCTAAGTCATTGACATCAATTCTTCTTATTCATTGTCTTGGATTTCACATATATATGAGGCAAGTGAAATTACCCTGGCTTGAATCAGGTTCATCTTAGTCCTTAATGTGATATCTTTGCTTTTTAACATAAAGACAACTTTTGCAGCAGATTCGTCCAATGATATGTTCTTTGATTTCTTGACTACTACTTCCACAGGCATTGTTTGTGGCTCCAAGTAAAATGAAATCCTTGACAACTTCAGTTTTTTCTCCATTTATCATGATGTTGCTTACTGGCCAAGTTATGAAGATTTTTCTTTTCTTTATGTTGAGGTGGAATCCACACTGGACGCTGATGTCTTTGATATTCAAGTTGTGTTGCTAGGCTCCTACTCATGGTGGCAGCGGTGGTGTTGTGCTGTGGAGTTGGTTTTGTCTCATAGCAACTGTGCAAAGAGCTTTGGAGACTATAAATCTTTATGGGACCAGAAAGCCTTATCTTTCTCCCCCACAACAGCTGGTAGTTTTGAACTGCTAACCTTGAGGGTAGCAGCTCTCTAACCACTATACTGTTACAGCAGTTTTAGATTCAAGAGTGCAAGAGCAGCTCTTGATCACTCTCCAAGAAACTGAATCCAGTCTGAGAGGTGAAGCAGAGTTTCAGATTTTATTAAGCCAGCTGGCTCAGAGGCATTAGCTTCTCCAAATTCTGAGCCCTAATACAGGGCAGTGCAGACTTACATAGGGTCAGAATCAGGGAGGGGTTAGGTTGCAGACCTGTTTGAAGACAGGAGGGAAACCAGAGGATTAGTCCCACTCAGTAACCTGATTAACATTTTAGCTTGTCTCCTGGGCAGAGAAGGCAGTGAATGTTTTTACCTTTTCCTGTTCACTACCAGAGTTCATAAGTTCCTACTCATAGAGGCCTTTTTAAAAACAGAATGAAACACTGCCTGGTCCTTGTGTCATCCCTACAATTGTTATGTTTCAACCCATTGTTGTTCTTGTGTCAATCCATCATTTGAGGATCTTCCCCTTTTTCGATGACACTCCACTTTTCCTTGACCCTCCACTGTTGCAATCATGATGTCCTTCTTTAGGGACTGGTCCTAACCCAAAGTTAAGAGACAAGTCTCACCATCCTCGCCCTTGCTCATTTGCCATACTTCTTCCAAAACAGATTTGTTCTTCATAATGTTGCTTATTGGTCCAGCTGTGAGGATTATAATTTTCTATACATTGAGGTGCAGTCCATATTAAAGGCTGTGGTCTTTGATCTCCATCAGTAAGATGTGTTGTTTAGCCGGTTAAATGTAGTTAAATCAATTCCAACTCCAAGTTATGCTATATAGGATTTCCAAGGAGCAGCTAGTAGTTTTGAACTTGTGTGTAAGGGCATTTAAATCTCAACCCGGAACTCGGAGTCGCACGCCCTGTATAATGGGAGTCGTAGTTTCCTTGAGAGTTTCTCATCGCCTTCCAGTCCTAGTTCTTGCCACAGCTCCAAACTACAACTCCCATAATAAGTCCCTCGGGGTACGCCTCTATGCGCAAGCGCCCTGAGGCCGCAGGATTTGAATCGGCGGCGTTGTTATTGACGCCATATTGGGGCCGGCGGCGGGTGGAAGAGTCGTACAGTGTAGTGGGAAGCGGTTGGACGTGTTTGTTTGAGCTCCTGCGGCTGCCTCACGTCGTAATCCCTCCGCATCGACCGCCGCTCTCTAGCTACTGATCCTACTTAGGCACGTTGGGAGCCGCGTTGAAGCCTCCCACCTCACGGGGCTGTTATCGACTTCGAATAGAGCCGGTCTCATCTCAGAAGCACCTCAGACGCGGCGCAAAGCTCGCACGGACGGCGGGGGCGGCCGGAGCCTCTCCTGGGGGAGCCGCGCCTGAGGAGGCGGAAGAGCCCCCCCTGACGCGGCTGGCGTGAGCTGCCGCCACCGCCCCTCTCGCTCTTGCCCCGGCCGACCCGGGCCACTGCCCTGCCGCGGAGGCAGCGGCGGCGGCTGTTCTCTCCTGGGTCTTTTTCCTCTGAATCCGTCGGTTAAGCTTCCCCGAGCCCCCGTCCCCCCCTCCGCCATTCCCCTCCCGTCACCCCTCCCCGTCCCCACCCGAACCCGGCGCCTCCGCTGCCCCCGGCCATGGCGTGCGGAGCCACTCTGAAAAGGACTCTGGATTTCGACCCGCTGCTGAGCCCGGCGTCCCCGAAGCGGAGGCGATGTGCGCCATTGTCGGCGCCCACTTCGGCTACTGCTTCCCCGTCGGCGGCGGCCGCGGCCACAGCCGCCGCCTTCTCGGCCGCCGCCGCCTCACCGCAGAAGTATCACCGAATGGAACCGTCCCCATTCGGCGATGTCTCCTCCCGCCTCACTACAGGTGGGTCCCGGCTGCCGGGGTGGGCGAGAGGACCGAGACGCGGGCTGCGGCCCCGGGCGTGGGGGGTTCCGGGCTGCTCCGCGCGTTCTGAGCAAGGTGGCCGGGCACCCCCATTTCAGTGTTCTCCCTCGGCTACAGAGACACAATAGGAATGGCTTTATCGGGGGGTCGGGAGGTGGGGTGAGTGCCCTGCCGGCATTGTAGAGAAGAGGAAGATTCTTTTCTTCGGGCTGAATGACTGGAATTGAGTGTTTCCGTAGTCGGGAGAGCCCCAGCGGAAACGATTAGAAGGGCGATATTCTTCATAAATGTAGGCGATCGAGAAAGGTCACATTTCACTGGGATCGTGATGTCTTTTTTTTGCCTGAATCGATTGGTTGCAGCTATTAACTCTGGGACCGGGTGGTTTGAGGCTAGGCGGCCGCCCCTCCTCCAGTTCAGACATGGCTGATTTTCGTCTAGAGGGGGTGGGGGTGGGGATGGGGCTGGATGTCACTGGGGCGAGATCGAGGCCTGTCATTAATCACCCACAGGAACGCCACTTGGGCTGAGTCAAGACCTGTTTCCCTAGCAGGGTCAACAACAAAGAAAATGCTCTTCCCGAGTACCTATAGTAGTGTGACCACAGTATACGTCTATTCCCTGAGAAATTTTCAACTTTAATCAAAGGGAAACTATATTGGAAAGGTGGGCTGAGCCATTTGCTTTTCGTTGAAAAGGCTTTATTTTTTCGCAGGAAAATAGATTGGGAGAAAACAACCTAGGCCTTGAGAATAATTAACCCCAGATTCCAAGGGACTTCAGACTACTTTTGCTTTTCATCTTGAAACATTTCCTGAAAGAGACTGGGGAAAATGCCTTTTGGCTGCTTTGTGCAGCGTGTGTATGCCCAGTTTTGTCTGTACTTTGAAAGCTTCTGTGCCCCGAGTACAGTCCTAGGATAGATCGGCTTTTGTGGACCTGAAGTGTAAATCTGTTTTCTTTGTGTGTAGCATGCAAAGGTTTCGTGCATGAGCCTTGGGTAATACTGTGACCTGCAGACAAAGCCTTTTCATGGCTTGATTTACATGTCTAAATATTCTTGTTTTAAAAAAATAGATCGGTATGGGCAGTAAATGCCTCTGTAGTTTAGGATCCTGGTGGTTAACATTACTTTCAGAGTTTGCCTTTTTAGTGAATTGATGTCACTGAAAATTGAAATGCTATCATGGAATCTGCACTGTATTTGGCAACTTCAATTTGGAATTGCCTTAATTTAATTATTGTTTTTTTTTTTTAATTCCCTTTTCCAAATCCATGGGGGAAGGGCCCTCAAATATCCGGCTTCCATTTTTGCTGTTAAATGTTTGATCTAATTTAAGGACTTGCTGTTGTGGAGTGGTAGTAAGCCTTGAAAGGAATTCACAAGTCATTTTCTTTAATGACCCAATCTAAATTGTCTTCTGTGTGGAAAGCACGCACTGATTTAAGTTAGACTTTGCCCTAAAAACATTAAAAAGGAAGCAAGCAGTGTTAAGAATGAGCTGGTGTTTAGCATTACTTTTAGAGTTTATCTTTTTAGTGAAATGGTGTCATTGAAAATTGAAATGATATCATGAAATCTACTTTAAATAATAAATCATTTAAAAATAGCTGTAACTAACCAGCAATAAATTTCCTTCAAGAGGGTGAATTAGCTCAGTGTTCCCTTTGGGAGTTAAGTATAATTTAGTGTTAGCATAGTCATATGAGCAAATGAGAAACCAACCAGGAGCGTTACCATTTTCCCCACTTTGAAAGAGACTTCATTCCGAATGAATAGTGATTCTTTGAAACTTGTAATTTCACTGATATGTTTGTAAATTACCTTACAATTCAACTGAGTAAACGGACTTTTACAAAAATAAAATGACTGGAATGATTCGGATTGCTAAGTCAGCTAATTTAAATTCAGTTGGTTTTCAAATTTTCAGTGGGTATGTCATCAGTTTTTCAAAGTGGTTTTTGAGATCTATTTTGAAAGTTTGATCATGAAATCTGAAATCACATATTTGAGTTTTATTGACTGCTAAAAGGCTATTTCATCGAATTTGAATTTAACATACAAAGTTGCCTTGGGAAAACGAGTTAAAATTGTTAAAAAAAAAAAAAAAAAAGCAAAACTTATTTTGAATGGCATCCTAAATGTAATTTAGTTTAGCTTGTCTTCACATGACCAGTTTTGTGTATGCCTCTGATCTGGTTTTTGTAATGATGTTGTCATAATGGGAGTTGTATTGTACTGGTTTTAAAGGGCTTCCCAGTTTTCATGTCACCAAACTTGGAAATAATTTTCCCACTTCACTAATAGTTAGATTCCTGTTTTCACAGTGATGATTCTTATATTTTATAGGACTGAATACTTATATATCCTTACCTGAAATAAGTAGCTAGATTGCAAGTGGTCAGTAGCTCACCAAAGCAAGATTAGGACTCTGGGCTCTGCAGGAGCTCTTCTGTAGTTGAAGTATGGCAATGGTTACGTTCTGTGGAATTGGTTCCGACTCATGGTTGGTTATGAGTTTACAAGGGTGGGAGATCTAATTTATAGGAGCAGAAAGCCTCATCTTTTTCCCACAGAACCATCCGTAGTTTCTAACTACTGACCTTGAGATTAGCAGCCCAACTCATAACCCCTGTGCTACCAGAGCTTCTTATAATTTGAATAAATTACAACTAGAGTAGTACAGAGATGAATATTTTTCAGGATGTTTTGTAATTTACCTTTAATTCTTGTTTTACTTTGAATTCATGTTTGGACTTTACTAGTAGTTTCAAGTCTTTCTGGCTAAATAAATCTTTATTAAGAACTTGAACATTTGTTGTTAGAACCCTAGAGTCCGCACCGACTCATAGCTAAGCTGTAGGATTTTTAAGGAGTGGCTGGTATGTTTGAACTGCCAACCTTGTGGTTAGCAATGTGGTGTTTATTCTACAGTGTCTCACCAGGACTCCTGGACATCTTTTGCATCCTACCTATAATTTGAGCCACCGAGGAAGGTGATTTTGGAGTTTGGTGTGTAGGATAAGCACGGGACTTCTAACTGGCTGCTCCTGGATAACCCTGTACAGGGCCTCTGTGAGTCTGAACCCACTCAGTGGCACTTGGTAACAACAGGAAGATGATTACAGTTGGTCCCAATGACTATTCTTATTTAAATCAACATTTATTTATTTATTTATTTTTTAGAACAATTTCAGTTTAATACCAGGAAGAAGAAAAGGGTTGGTTGAGCTGTTACAGCTGTTCTTAACTGCAAGACTGGAGCTTTGTTATGCTAATCAGTTTTGTGACATAAGTGCCTTTGTAGGGTTTCCATGAAGTGGCTAGTGGGTTTGAACCTCCAACCCTCTGGTTGTGTTTATTTACAGTGCCACACCAGAAGGGGACCTAAATGTGCAGTAATATCCCCAAACTGACTATTTAGACACCTGTTAGACTTCTTGAGGGATACTTAAGGTGTTACTTGAGAAATGTTGGCTTTTGTACAGTCCATGTGCGAAGTTTGTTGTTTTCATTTTTTAATGATTGGAAAAGAATCAAAAACCCATTTGGTGACACGTGAAAATTACATGAAATTCAGATTTTGAGGTTCATAAAATTTTGTTGGGAGACAGTTGAGCTCAGAGCTCATCCAGGGCTGCTTTCATGCTGTTATAATGGATTTGAATAATTGGGACAAAAACCATATTGCTCCAAAGTGCAAATATTTACTGTCTGACTCTTTACAGACCAGGTTTTGCCCACTCTGGTATTAGGGTGTCAGCAGTGAGGTTTATAATACTCCCAGGTATCAAAAAGGCAAAGTGAATGAAGGGGTGAAACACAGAAGCATTGGTTATGGTGGGGGAAGTGAATACCTTTAGTCCTAATCCTGGTAAATTCGTTGAAAAGAGATTTTGAAATGTTTTTCCTTTTTTATTGTTTTTTTTTTTTTTTTAAATCTCAGGATATTATCATTTAGCAAAAAAATTGTCATGACATTCCCAAGGACAAAATTATTTTAATAAAACCAAAAAATATTATGCAGCTTTACAAGAGACTTATCAGTCAAATCCAGCATTGTTTTCATACTTTAGTAAATTAATGGTCTGGCAAATAACTACTTCTGTGGATGATAGTCTTATTTATGAGTTTGCTAAAAATACATATCTACACATTATTTATGGTAGGTAATGCTAAAACATTAATTTGATGATGTGCTAACCTAAAGGTTAGAGGTTTAAGTCTACCCATAGGCTCCTCAGAAGAAAGTCCTGGTGATTTACTTCCAAAAAATTAGCCATTGAAAACCCTGTAGTGAGTGCATAGCCCTACTCTGACACATATTGGGTTGCATGAGTAGGCAACTGGTTTGCCATTACTCCAGCCTGTCTGTTTTAAGAACTGAATTAGGTGAAGAGTTAGAATTCCTTTGTAAGGACTCACTGTATTTGCTGGAAGCTTGCCATTAAAATTGGACACCGCAGCTTGTGAATGGGGAAGTTTTTTACAGGAATGTGATTGTTCACTAGACATTGATACATGCCTGCAAACAGATACACCAGCTGGATTAAATGAAGTATAAATGGTTCTAGGCAAACAAATGAGATGGCTGTTGGAGGAGGTCGAATCTCACTTCAGATGTGATTTATTTTGAGCCACAAGTGTTTAAATATTTTGTGGTTATTTAGACAGCTGTTAAGTTGCTTCTAGTTTCTCAGTGTGTTTTGCAAATTGTTTTTAATGGTCTTTGTACTTTGGATTTTAAACGTGATATTTTATTTAAGACTATTTATGTAGCTGTAGTTATTTCATAATTCTTTGACTTATGCACTTTAAAACCCTGTAAGTTTATGGCCATTAAAAGCAGAGTGCAGCTGTATTCATTACTGAACTATTTTGTTTTGAAGGTTGAAGACTAAAACCTAACTTGAGCACAGAAACACATAGGGTAAGCATGGCTAGATTAGAGTTTAGTCCTTCTTTAAATGTGGGCACT